GTGCCCCTAGAATCTTTAGACAGTGCTACATCTCTAATGATTATTTGCTGGCAATATAGGAATGGCTGATTGATTTCTTCTGTAAGACAGTAGAGGATCTTTTATTTCTGTTGTTTAAAGAGTTTCTCATCTTTCTTTCCTTTAATAAATGATGCTTGTGAGAAGCCTCATACTCTTATTTCTAAAAAAATCAACGTTCCTTGGAGATGAGATGTTCTGAAAAAGAAAATGTCCATACGCCAAAGGATTAAGTAATTAGCACTTAGGGAGTTGATTAAAATTCCAATACAGGAATTTTTACTCCTGTTTTAGTCCAGCATGTTCACTCCTATATATTATTTGAAATTCAGAGACTTTGCTATAATTACCTGGGTGATGGACATTGGGGAGGGTATGTGCTATGGTGAGTGCTGTGAATTGTGTAAGGCTGATGAATCACAGACTTGTACTCCTGAAACAAATAATACATTATGTGTTACTAAAAATTACCTGTTACTGCCTCCATAAATTTTTGCTCTCACTTCAACAAGGACTCTCCCCGCCCTCTGCCTCTGTCCCTGGTCCTGAGCACCAATGCTGCCAGCATCCAGGAGGCTCCCTTTGTTCAGAGTCTGTGCTGAGTGTCAGTGCCCACTCTAATTGGGCTGGAACTGGCTGCAGCCTAGATCCTGGGGCGTGTGTCTGAAGTTCAGCCTTTGATGAGTGAGAAGGCAACACTGAGGCGCAGCAGGGCATCTTTCCCCTTTGACAAAGAGAGTCATCAAATTGGTCCTCCCAGGGCCTTCCCTCCATTTTGAAGCAAGTTGTGAACTTATTTGCCCAGGACATACTAGTGAAGTAAGTTAAAAAAAAAAAAAAAAAAAAAAAAGAATCCTTGCTTTCCAGGTGTCAGTGGGATTCGTTCTGTTAGTGAAGCACTAGGTTACCAGTTTGCTACTCATTTAAAGATCCTGCTCCACCACCCTTTGAACAGAAGGAGAGAGGGTGGAATTCCGATAAAATCCATAGTGTTTTGAATCCTTTCGTCCCTTAACTCTCCACTCGGGTGTGTCCCCAAGTCACAGACAGCTTCAGTTCTCTCAGAGTCACCCGTTTATTACTGTGGTGCAACCTTTCTTTTACCTTGGATCAGGAGAAGGGTGTGCCCTTTTTTTAAACGGTGGTGTCTGGGGCCTCCTGTATTCAGCACAGATGGGCATAGAATAATTTATATTACTGTTGGGGATTAGCAAGGATTTGTTCCTTGGGCTTACTTAGATCCTGGCTCAATATGGATGACTATATTTAGGAGAGCTCAACTACTTTTATAAATATCCTAGTGCTTGAATAATAGATCACTGGGATTCTTCCCTGACTGCAGATGTCTTACAAGCCTTTCCAGGCTAACTCTTAGATTACCCTCAATTGAATGGCTCCTTACACGACGTGGTTCTCACAATCCTGCATATTCTACTTTGTTAATAGTTTATAAATTGTTGCTATTCTTTACGATCTCCTTGAGAAATAGATGGTTATGCTTATTATTACTTTCATTGTACACATGGAAGGAGTATTACGTTATGAGTGCTTTGAGAGTGTACTGTTTACCCAGAACCCTAGAGCACCCTGGCTGTTGAGGATGCCCCATCACTAACAGAGAGCAGCTGACCTGACCTTTCCTAACAAAATATATCTTCTGTTTCAGTAGATGGCCAATCCTTAGGAACCCATGATAGCATCACAGCAGTAACTATGGTAGAATGGGTAGGCCTGCTTTTAGGGTGGACATGACCCTGAAAAGGTTTTTTTTTTTCCCCTTAGTTTATATACTTAAATTTTTTTTAGAGAGGGGCTTGTTTATTTTAGGGTGATTTTGGAAAACTTTCCATGCAAATGTAAGGTACTAGATACATAGAAGCTTTGTCCTCAAGAGGTTTGGAAGCATTGCTTCTCTTTAGATGATAGGTAATCACAGTAGAATGAGTCTTGGAAGTCATTTGTTGCAGAGAATTAGGAAAGCTTGATTCAGGACACACATTTAGAGATAGAATTGTTGGCTGGGTGTGAGATTCAGTGAACTATACCCTGATCTGGCCAGGCATTTGATGCATTCAATCTCGGTTACTTTATAAAGCCATCTTATAAATTCAGCACAGAAGGGAGTCTGTCCTGTTTTAAAAATAAGAAGGCTGAGGTCCAGACTGACTGGCACCATGGCTGGTAAATTCTCAGCATGAGAACCCAGCTCTCTAGGTTTTGATTCATCTTTCTTCTGTGGGACGGATACATCCATTCCTCTTGACTTGGATGTTTTTCCAGGGGACCCTAGCACAGTGCCTTTCTTCTGCCTCTCCCCATATCCACCCCTCTGCTTGCTCATTAGGTCACTCGTGAGAGCCCACCACTGTTTGGGAATGCTTTGGAAACCCCCCTCCCCCTTACGCATCCCTCGCAAACTCCCATTTTGACCACATATCCGAAGTTCCAGCTCTCTGGCTCTGCCCTGAATCCCAGTGCTTATGCTAGATTTGGGGATTGGAATTTATAGGGTTTGCCGGTAGACTTACACTTGGCAGAACCTGGCTCTCAACCCTGGGTGGTTTGTAATAGGGATCTTCCTCTCCACCTCCTAACCTATGGAACCTAATCTTCAGTCTTACTGTCAGGCTCTTGGATTGGTGTGCAAGCTGATTTTGACACCTGGGGTTCAGTTAACAAGCATTTAGCGAAGGAAAGGCTCAACAATGAAAATTCCCAGGACTTCTTAGTCCTCATTCAATGTTTTCAATTGAGTAATGAAGTATGTGACTCTGTGTTCTTCCTATTATCCAGCTGTAAAATGGAATAATACCCCATTTTACCTTTAGTGAAGTATAATATGTGTGTGTGTTATTACAGTGTTAACGTTCCTTACTAAGAAAGCCGTTGTAAAAGTCCAGCTACCAAAAACGATGAGAAGTTGCCTGGATAGTTGCAAATTTCAAAAGCTTAAACTAATTCCAAGTAACGATAAAATGAAACTATGTTTTAGTGGTAGGTAGCTCAGTTCTCAAGGTGTTTTCTGTTTCAGGAAGCGTGACCATAAAATTTTCTTTTTTTTTTTTTTTTAAAGATTTTATGTATTAGAGAGAGATGCCTCTGTGTATGTCACATACCACCACCATGCAGGCAGCTGGGTGTTGAGGTGAAGGAGCGCTGCCTTTCCCAGAGTTGGTCAGCCTGGTCATGGCAGATCTGGGAGCAGGATCCTCTGTCTTGATTGGCTTTTCTTTCTGCCATCCTGTAGTCAAAGGACAGTCTGGGGAGAGGTAGGTGTCAAGTTCAAAGAGAAGTGTGCCTATCTCCAGTAGGGATGGAGAATAAAGAAGAAACATTTAACATGCTACCTGGAAGAACGACCTGGTTTCTCAGCTTATCATAGAGGACGCTAGTGAAATGAATTGTAATTTAGGGCAGAGACCTGAAATTGCTCTTCCTTGCCTAAATAAATTGATTTCTTTGGTTGTCTGAACTTCATTTCTTGAACTGGGCAGAACTAACGTAGTCTAAATTAAACTCATTTTCCATTAATAAAACTGGGTCACTTCAGGCTGCCTGAGTGTGTTTCTGAGTGTCCTGAAGCACATTTTAAAAAACCCAGTGTTTCACGCTCTTTTCATAACCCATTTGATTTAGCCCGTGTAACACATAATATTTGCATTCACCTTTCCCTTGACACTCTGCTTTAGAGTTGGGGTCTGTTTCTGAAACTTCCTTTTAACTGTCAGGAAGACTGTTGCAGGAGGGCATTGCTGTCCATCTGCTAGGGCTAGAAAAGGCAGAGGAAGGATGCCCAGGGCTGGGGGGTTGGGTGAGGCAGTTAGCCCCTGCCTTGCCTAAAGAAAGCTTAGTTCTCGTTATGCCTTTCCTTGTTTTCCTGCTGGTGGCTTTGCACTATAATATTTTGAAGCTATTGTTTATACATAGGGTCCAATGAACTGGATCATGAATGTGGGAAGTTGTGAATTGAAAAAAATGATAGCACAAGCTGAAGAAATTTAGAAAAATCTTGTGCAGGTCCACGAGAGTGTTTCTGCTTGGAGCTCTCACTCAGCGCTTGGTGCACGTACTCTCGGTTGTTGGAGGTGCGTGAGGTAGTCCAGTCCACCAGGGTCGCAGTACACCTGCTCTGCCCTCCGTGTCCAGTGTCAGACTACCTTGGAAAGCACTGGGGAGGCTCTGTTATCTTTCCTGGTCCTCCTCCATTTCTACTTCCTGGGAACGAGGGCGGGGGCGCCCTGGATGCTGGCAAGTGAATCCTGATTTACAAAGCCCTGCACATGTACATCCCCGCTGGGAGAGCCGTGATTTGAATATGGCTTTTGGAATACTCTGAAATATAAAGACCTAGAAATGTTAAAACTGTGGGAAATACTTTTCAAAAATGACAGTTGGGGAAAATGGAAATATTTGTCATATTTTATTTTTAGCATATTTTAGATATTTGAAATATGGGACCATATGAATTTAAGAAAATGGGTTGTCTTTACCTTTTTAATGAACTGGTCATGCCCATATTTTTAGGGATATAAAAGCCTAGAAAAATTATAGGGAAATTGATGTTTTCCCATGTTTTCTTCCCTTTTAAAAAATTAAAGAAGTTAAAAAGTCATCATGGGGACGCCTGGGCGGCTCAGTCGGTTAAGCGTCTGCCTTCGGCTCAGGTCATGAGCGCAGGGTCCTGGGATCGAGCCCCGTGTGGGGCTCCCTGCTCAGCGGGGAGTCTGCTTCTCCCTCTCCCTCTCCCCCTCTCCCTGCTTGTGCGCTCTCTCTTGCTTTCTCTCTCTCAAATAAATAAATAAAATCTTTAAAAAAAAAAAAAAAGTCGTCGTGGGGATGGATCTCCCTCTGATTTCTTGTCTCCCCTAACCCTCTGTTTTCCACACTTCAAGGTATATCAATTCACCCGTCCTTGTGTCTTTTTGTCAGATCTTAACAATATGCAGATGACTTTCCACTGACAGTTTTTCTTCTATTTTCAGTGCACAGAGGCCAAAAAACATTGCTGGTATTTTGAAGGACTCTATCCAACATATTATATGTAAGTATTTGCATTTTTCTGTTGGTTTGATTCTGTGGTCACGTCTTTCTCTGGGAATTATTTCTTTCATAGGTTATAGGACTGGTTATAGGATGGGGGAAAACTCAGTTTGTGGAGGCCATCATCCTTGGTTTCACCTGCCTGTGCTCACAAATGTGCAGGCAACCTCTCTAAGGACACTTTAGTTGGCTCAGATCACTTACTCTGAGGACAGCATGAAATACCAGGTGCTTTGTCCTGGGAGACATGTCCACTCATACATAATTGGTCAAAAGGGCCAGAGTTGTGTTGGTGTATACATACTTTCCTAGGCAAAGGGAATGAGTGTAGGGGGAGTAGAATTCTGAACTTGAGTTGGATAGGAAAAGGGTCCGTTGCTGTGAGTGTGTGTGTGCATATGTGTGTGTTGACAGTAATCAGAAAGGCTGCCTGGCCCTGGGCCCCCTCCCTAGTCAGGGACAGTTAGCCTTTCATGGCTCTTGGCTCAGAGCAGGTTATGCTTCTTCCTGTGCCTGGGTGTCTGCCAGTATTGCTCTAATTAAAGCATTATTGTATTTTGCCCCTGTTGTTTTTATTTTATTTATTTATTTATTTATTTATTTATTTATTTATTTATTTATTTATTTATAATATTGGCTGAGTTAGCCACTGGCTATGCTCAGCCACCTGCCTAGGTGGTCAGATTAACTCTCCAGGTTACCAGTTATTATTTTTTTGTGTGTGTGTTTTGAAGCTCCACAGGTTTTGAGAGGAATGCCCCAAACCAGTTTTTTTCTGAAACTTCTTTTTGGTAGTAAATTTTGTAAAACATGAGATCTTTCAGTAATGTATGTAATTGTATTAGAGCAGAAGCACTGTATATCTTAGCATATAAGGAGATTGGACAGGAAATACATAATAGTAGCAAAGAATGTTATTTCTTAATTGGCCAAGATGTACATTTTTATTACCTGCCATTCTTGTGGAATTTCTGATCTGAAAGAAACCACTATAGGAGGAGAAATGTTGCCTGCCTGTGAATGGGGACATACTGACAAGCAGGGGTCCTTGATGCCTCACATTGGAGGAGTCCTGGCAGAAGGCCTCCACAGCTGCAAAAAGACAAAACCCACTTGGAAAATAAAGCAGCATAAGGACTTTAATTACAGAGTTGTCAGCTTGAAGAAACATGGTTATGGGATAACGTGAAGATAAAATATTCTGGTTCTTAGAACAATGTATATTCCTTAGTAAACTTTAGTTGTTTTTTAGAGAGAGTGTGTGCCACAACGGGGTGAGGGGGGGAGGAGGAGAGAGGGAGAGGCAGAATCCTAAGCGGCCTCCACGCCCAGCACAGAGCTTGACACGAGGCTCAATCTCACGACCTGAGCCAAAATCCTGAGTCGGACGCTTAATGGCTGAGCCACCCAGGTGCCCCTGAAAACAAATCTTTCTCAAATTGCTTTGTAGATCAGCTGATGAATCATTTCCTGGTGGTTTTTAAAAATATTTATTTATTTATTTGAGAGAGTGAGAGCATGCACGCAGGTGAGCATGTGAGCAGAGGAAGAGAGAGAGAGAGAATCCCAAGCGGACTCCCTGCTGAGCGTGAGGCCTGAGGCAGGCTTAGTCTCAGGACCCTGAGATCATGACCTGAGCCAATACCAAGAGTTGGTCACCTAACCCACTGAGCCACCCAGGTGCTCCAATTTCCTGGTCTTTTAGAGTTTGGGAGTTGGAGGTCATTGCTCTTCTTGTGTTTGCGTGTTTGTTTTTGCCTTTATTCATTTACTTATTCCTTCCATATTTGGGAAAGGTTTTTGTATTGACAGCACAGAGACAAGCCCTGTTCTTGTCTTGAGTGTGGTTTGTCTCCTGGTTTGGTTTCCTTTCACATCTCTTTACCACTGGTGAGGGCGGGTTCTAGAAATTAGAAAGTAAAGTCACGCTCTTATTTGAGTGCTGAAGCTAATATAAAAAGTAATAATAGTAACGTTGAGCATTTACTATAGTCTAGGCATTGTCCTGTGCCCCTTACATGAATCAATGTCATTTAACCCACAGCCACTTAAAAACCCCAAGCATGCACACTGGTCTTCCTGACCTGACCCCTGCTCTCTCCGTTCCCACTGCTTCACCTGAATCCACACCTGTGTTAAACGCTCTTGTGAACCATTGCATACACTTTGTTTTATCCAGCTTTATCGAGATATAACTGATGCATAAGTTTGTGTAAATTTAAGGTGTACAGCGTGTTGATTTGATATATATTGCAAAATGATCACCACCATAGCTTTAGCTAATGCCTCCATTATATCCCATAATCGCCTTTTTTTTTTTTTTTGTGGTGAGACTACTTAGATTGACTCTTCTTAGCAACTTTAAAGTATATAATACAGTATTGTTAACTATAACAACCGTACTGTGCCTAAAATCCCCAGAACTTACTCATCTGATAACTGGAAATTTTTACTCTTTGACCCATATCTCATTTCCCCCACCCCCAGGCTCTGGCAACCACCATTCTGCTCTCTTGAGTTTGGCTTTTTTGAATTCCACATATAAATGAGATCATAGAGTGTCGTTTTCTGACTTATTTCACTTACCATAATGCCCTCACGGTACATCCATGTTGTTACAAAGGGCAGAATTTCCGTCTTTCTTGTGGGTGGTTAATATTTCATTTTATGTGTACATCACAGCTTTTTTATCTGTTCATCTGTTGATGGACATTTTGGTTGCTTCAATATCATAGCTATTGTGAATAATGCTTCAGTGAACACGGGAGTGTAGATCTCTCTTCAAGATCCTCTTTTCATTTCCTTTGCAGGTTTAGCTATGAGTGGGATTGCTAGATCATATATTGTAATTTTATTCTTAATTTTTTGAGGACTCTGCATACTGCTTTCCGTAGTGGCTATACCAGTTTACAACTCTACCTGTGCATGGGGTTCCGGGTTCCCCTGTCTCCATACCCTGACTGACGCTTGTTATCTCTTAACCTTTTTGGTGATAGCCATTTTAACATGTATGAGGTGATACCTCTGTGTGGTTTGATTTGCATTTCCCTGATGATGAGTGATGTTGAGCACTTTTTCATGTACTTGTTGGCCATTTGTTTGTCTTCTTTGGAAAACTGTCTATTCAGTTCCTCTGCCCATTTTAATCAGATTATTATTATTATTATTATTATTATTATTGTTATTTTCCCCTATTGAGTTGTATGAGTTCCTTGTGTATTTTGGATATTAACCCCTTATCTGATAAGTGGTTTACACATATTTTCTCCCCTTCCATAGGTTGCCTCTTTATTTTGTTGATTGTTCCTTTTGCTTAGAGTAGCTTTTTAGTTTGATGTAGTGTCGCCCTTTCTGTTGATGTTTGCGTTTGTTGTTTGTGCTTTTGGTGTCAGATCCAAAAAAATCATTGCCAGGAGTTGAGGAGCTTCTTCCCTATATTTCTAGGATTTTTGGTTTATCAGGTGTTGGGAGTCCTGGATCCATTCCAAGTTAATTTTTGTGATTGGTGTGAGGTGGAGATCCAGTTTCATTGTCCTGCAAGCATTTCTTCGGTTTCCCCAGCACCATTTGTTGAAGGGACCATTCTTTCTCCCCTGAATCTTGGCTCCCTTGTGAAATACTAATTGACTGTAAATGGGAGGGCTTGTGTCTGGGCTTTCTGTTCTGTCGTTTTGGTCAATGGGTCTGTTTTTCTGCCAGTACCATACTGTTTTCATTACTCTGTCTTTATAGTAGTGGTTTGAAATCAGCAAGTGTGATACATCCAGTGTTGTTCTTTCTCAGGATTGCTTCGGCCACTCCTGGTCTCTTGTTCCTTGCAAATTTTAGGATTGTTTTTTCTATTTCTGTGAAAAGTGCCATTGGAGTTTTGATAGGGATTGCATTGAATATACAGATGGCTTTCTAATGGGTCTTCTTTCATTCCTTTCTCTCATCAAATTCTCACTTCTTTCTAAGTTACTGAAATTTTCATGTCACTTTCCTGCTTAATTTGGAACAAAGTCCAAATTTTTAGCCATCTTTAACAGTAGATTTCCAAGATATTTGTCTGGTTTATCTTCTTTCTTTATTGTGAGTCCCATGAGGACCGGACTATGACTTTTGAATATTTGAATTCCCAGTGCCTAAGATAGTGCCTGGCACCCAGCGGACATCCCTGAATGTTGAGTGGGTGCCTTTCTTTTCAGCCCCTACGGTAGGGCCCACGCTGACTTCTGCAGGCGGCCCTGCATCATTCCTAGTTCTCTGGCTGGCGGGCTCTTTGCTGGCTGGAAAGCTTCCCTTCAGAATTCATTCCTCCTTCCTCATTTTGGCTCTGATGTAGCATCTTGGATAGTCCTCACACAGTGTTGTATGTCCTGTGGGTGCTTCCAGGATGGGCTTGTACATCTACTTAACCCTGCTGCCTGACACAGTGTGTGGCATTGGGTGTTAACTGTCATGTTTGCACAGTTGATTTCCTACCTGCTTGGTTCTCCCCGTTTTTATTTCCCATGTTCTGCCACCTTTTCTTTTTAAAGATTTTATTTATTTATTTGAGAGAGACAGAGCAGAGAACGAGCATGAGCAGGGGGTGGGAGAAGCAGGCTCCCCGTTGAGCAGGGAGCCCAATGCAGGGCTCGATCCCAGGACCCTGAGATCATGACCTGAGCCGAAGGCAGACGCTTCACTGACTGAGCCACCCAGGTGCCCCTCTGGCACCTTTTCCTTAATCATAGACTTTAAGCACTCCAGGGTCCCGAAGATCAGAGTTCAAGTATTTGCTCTATGACTTTCTGTTTAATTGAGGTGAAATTCACATAGCAAAAGTTAGCATTTTCAAGTGAACAGTTCAGTGGCCTATAGTATATTCACAGCATGGTGAGGTCACTGCCTTTATCTAGTTCCACACATTACAGCCACTGCACTCCATTCTTTCCTGGCCTTTGGACCTGATTCTCAGTTAGCTTCTTCATGAAATGTGAACGTGAGTGTTGACCAGGGTGTGTAGCATGGGGCCTG